ATTTATTTATCATATAATCTCAAAATATCCAAAGTCATATATTTAATCGATCATTATATATCTCTTAATGTTTGGAATTAAAAAAAAAAAACACTCCAGCTCGATTCCTTAAACGCAACTACTAAAAATATAATTCAATTTTCAATTTCCCAATCCGTTCGATCCAAATTTCTCTCTTGAACCAATCCCAATTAAAAGTCGGGTATTTGGATCCGTTATGAAAATCCGAATTATAATATTGAAATTTTTTTCCCCTTATAATATTACAAAAATAAAATTACAAAAATAAAGCTTCCGGTATTTACAAAACTAATTTTTAAAAGTAATAAAACCAAAAAAAACAATCAGTCAGTAATTAAAATTGAAATTCAAATTCTTGACAGACGATTCGAGTGTAACAAGTTCTAATTGCATCAAATGTTAAGTATCACATGTTGTAACTAAAAAAATAAAATAACAACAAAAAAACATTGATATCATTAAATCCCATTACTCACCTACATTTACCCCAATTGAATTCTTAAACTTAAAACCCTAAATCACCTACACTACAACCTTCTCGACTTCCCCTTTTTTCCGATTCTCCTCTACCTCAGCCCCTCAGCGAATTTGTGCTCCGATCAGGTAAGTACCACCTATTATGACCTAAATTCGTATTTTTTTCATACTTCATATATTAATGTTGTAGTATTAATAATAATTCTATGATCTGTTGGTAAGTATTCTGATTTTCATATATTTTGCGAAATTGAGTAGCTTTTTAAGTTCGAAATTGGAGAGCTAATACACATGCAGCATCTGAATATGTTTTCTTGCGATCAATTACGAATTATTCATAGATATTGACTTTGTATGTGTTGTCAATAAGCCCAATTGAATATGGGATCTAAGAATTACGGATATTACTAAAAACGTTGGATGCAATATGTGTTGTCAAGCTCTGTTTTTTTCGGATTTTGGGTTGCGCAGATTGACTTTGTTACTCTATTATGTGTAATCAACTACTACTCACCAATAACTCCAACAATTGGACCTAGAAAGGGTGTCATTGGTTTAGATCTACCAAAAAAGTAATAACGCTACTACTTTCTGACAACCCTAGCTCAATATGGCAATTTCACCTAAAATTACATATACATTTACATATACATTTACTTTCTGACAACTCTATTTCAATTCCATTAGCTACAGAATAATAATCATATATGTCCTTCGTTTTTATTTTTTGTTTTCCATCCATATGCTAGTGGCAAATTAAAAAATATGTCAGCTTGGTGTTATGAATTCACAATCAATAATCATCGGATGTTTAACAAACCGGTTAGTATCCCACTCATAAATTGATTTAAAATTATTTCTTAGGTCCTTAGACATTGACATTGGGTGAACTTACTTGGGGCATTTTTAAAATTTGTCAGGTAATTCCAAAACGAATGAACAAGGAATTGCAAGAAATATGGAATAAGCAACAGGCTAGGAAACATGCTAAGAAAAATGCTAAGAGACATGTTAACAAATGTGGTGAAAGAGGTGTCATACGTCTACACCGAGGTACTGAGAACAAAGAGTACCCCGTACGGTTGAGTTATGACTTTAAGGGTTCAGGGAAGTTAGAGACCTCTTTAGGAAAGGGTTGGGAAGAGTTTGTGACCTCTAACAAGATACGCTATTTCGATCGCATTCTGCTGCTATTAGAGGACACGGATGACATGTATTATCGGGTTCGAATATGGCGTGGGGAAATAGAAATTACAGTGACTGACCCGCATGTACTAATAGAGAATGACGGCACAATAAGTGATGTGGATGAAACTGAGTACGTGCCTATGGAGTGCTTGTTCGTGCCACCATCGTTCATATTCTCATTCAGCAAAGGATACCTTAAGAAACCACAAATTGTAAGTTCATAATTATTATTTAACCACAAATTGTAAGCTAACTAACTTGCTTTTAATTAACGTGAATTCTTTGAATTGTCATCTCCTTTTTTGATTATAAATTGTTGCGTGTGGTACGCAGAACGTTCCGGTAACCTTTGCTCGAAAAAATTTTGAGGGCCTTGAAGACCCCACAGATCTTGAAATATCTGCCAGCCGGACTTGGAACGCAACCATGCGATTTAACTTCACAAAAGACAACAAAATTGCTATGTGCACTATCCGGAAAGGAGTTCCAGAAATGGTTGCGGGTGAAGAGATTGAACTCGGAGAAAAATTTCGAGTTGAATTAGAAGGTACGGATCCAAAAGCGGTGCGTCTTACCATTAGATTCACTTGATAGCTAGCAATCTGATGCGGTTTTGGTGTAACATCCATTACATGGGTAGTTTGCTCCTTTCTTTATCAAATATGGGGACCTATAGTTTTGTTTATATACTTTGTGATTCCATAATCCATTGGCTAGGTAATGGTTACTTTTTGTTTGATACAATGGATTAATGGCTAGTACTTTAAGCAACTATTTTTTTTTTTGAATGAACTGATGACACTATCCAACCGAAAAGGTTAGGACTTTAACTATACTGATTAATGGGTTAATGATTTTTTTTTTGATACAATGGATTAATGTCTAGTTATTGTGTTATAGTTAATATTTGGATAGGTATAATCAAAAGGATCCTTTTGAAATAAATTAAATGAACTGAAGATAAAATATTAATTGTGCTTTACATTTTCATCGATATTACTTGCATTAGGTCAAATGTAAAATTCATGAAATCAAATAAATGTATATTTTCCTACTTTATCAAAAAAAAAAAACAATTGACAAATGATAAAATTAATGACATAGAGTATTGAAGTATTTACCTATGATGGAGATAATAATAATAATAATAATAATAATAATAATAATAATAATAATAATAATAAGAATAATAATAAAACATTAATAATAATAATAATAAAACATTAATAATAATAATAATAAAACATTAATATTGATTAAAATAAAACTACAATATTGAAATAATTAAAATAAGTCAAATCAGAAAAAATAAGTTCAGATCAGAAAAGATAAGTTCATATCAGATCAGATCAGAAAAAATAAGTTCAGTTCTGATCAGATCAGAAAAAATAAGTTCAGTTCTGATCAGATCAGAAAAAATAAGTTCAGATCAGATTAGATCACAAAATATAAGTTTAGTTCAGATCAGATCAGAAAAAATAAGTTCAGATTAGATCAGATCAAAAAATATAAGTACGTTCAGATAATATAAGATAAGATAAGATAAGATAAGATCATATCAGACCAGACCAGACCATATCAGCTGAAATCAGGTGATCTAAACAGGGCCTTATTAGGGGTTTTTTGTAGTAGTGAGTTCAATACATAAAAGATTATTATCTTTTTCTCTACGACTCTCTACAAAAAGAGGGACAAATCTCATGGATTATTGGCCCTGTTTGGGAGATAAGCTGAAAGCTGAAAGGTGAAGCAGATTTTATTAACTGATTTGACTAACTTGTTGTATTAACTAATTATATAAAAGTGTTTGGTAAGTAGCTGATATCTTAAAGGTGATTGAGTATGTGAAATGACCAATAAGCTAATTAGATAGGATTTTAAATTATATGAGGTTATAAATGTCATTTCACAATGATTAATGAATAAGCTAATTGAAAAAACTCCTAAACTGAGTTTTTTCAAAAACAGGTTTTATTTAGTGGAATAAGCTCTTTCAATAAGCTTTTTCAAAACATTTGTATTAGCTTGTTTGACTAGTCAATTAGGTAAAGTTAGTCAAATAAGCTAATATACCCCCAATAAGCTTACTACCAAACAGGGCCATTATCTTTTGCTCTACGACTCTCTACGACTCCCTATATAAAGACGGACGAATCTAGGGTGTAATCTAGGGACGACTCTCTATATACATGGAATAAGTCACAAAGACCCCATCTCCTCGCTACTAAAGTATTGAATAAGCCGACAAGGTTCCGTACTACAAACAAATATCAAAACCCTAACCCTACCCTTTGGAGAGAGGAATCAAGAGATCTACGAGAGTTGTAAACGACAAATTAATTATCAAATAATTAATCCCGTATATTGTTGTACCTCTTTAATTATGTATTTCAGGTATGAATTTTTATGGTTGACATAAGTGTAAAGCATTTCACAAAACTATTTACGTCGCACGTCTTTCAATAAGAAATCAAATGATATTCAAACACAAAGAGCAGAGGTTTCATAATCAAGCGAAAGTCAAACAAAGTCACACGAAGCTTTTCCAATCAAATGAAAGGAACAAAGATTTCAAGAAAGATTTCTGAATCAAATGAAAGTGAAACGCATTTAAGAAAGAAGTTATTAAGTAAAATAAAAGACAAATCCATTGATAAAAAGCAAATTCAATCAAGAGAAGGTTAAATGCGTCTACAAAAGCAAATTAAAGTAAAAAAATTCATACAAAGATTTAAGAATTAAAAGAAAGTCAATCACATTTAAACAGATCATTTTGAATCAAATGAAAGTTAAATGAATTACACAAATCCAATTAAGTCAAAAGAAAGACCAACGCATTGAAACCAAGTTTTTTTATTACATAAAAGTCAAATGCATTTAACAATTAAGTGACCAAACAATGAGTACAACCAATTAGATCTACATTCGGCTTATATACTGCCATACTGGTGTACTATTAATGACCGTAATTCCTATTTAATAAAATATTTGTATTCGCTTATATTTCATATATTATTAGGTAAGGAATTGATTTAATATATTATTGTATTATAGCATTAAAAAAATTATTAAAACACAACTAAAACACAACTATATATCTAATTAGTACATATAATCAGTTCACCATATATCCACCAATTTCGGACACGTGCAAAGGGGAGTTTCTCAATCAATTGACCCCATCCACCCAATTTGTGTACGTGTAACGTGCGGATTGAAAAGGCAAATATCAACAATTTAAAATTCGTATTCAGACACATTCGCTGAAAACCCTAACTCCACCCTTATTCTTATTCACTCAAAGTTCTATGAATCTCTTCATCTTCCTCTTCGAAATTGGCGGCCGTAATAGCAGAGGCGAGCAAAATCGAAAGGTGGGGATTGTTTTTGTTGTTCCAGGTACGTCTTCCATTCACCTTTCGAATTGTACTTCATCTTTAATTTTAAAACTTAGTAATCTTTCCAAATTAGGAAGCAAATCGGGATTTTGGGTTTTTTCATAAAGTGTATGAATTCTTGTGTTTGGTAATGAATTTTATATTGCATGCACCTTCACCTTCAACTACGACTATCAATTGATGCGATAATGAAGTTTAGGAACGAATTCACACAATAAATTGGTTCAAGTGTTGTCCTGCGCTTGGTTTGGGGCCTTTTGGAGTCGGTTTTCCTTAATATACAAGGACAACCCAATTCCAACCCGATCTGTTTTTATTATGATATGATTGAATATTATTTGAGAAATTGAATATTATCTCATGTCTATTTTATTTTACTTTATATTTTACTACAATTATCCTTTATTCTAGGGCAATCTGTTGTTAGCTGTCTACATTATCATTAGGATGAATGAGAAGGAGTGACACACAATTAGATTTCCTCTCTAATCTAACGGTTTTCATATTTGATGTTTTGCTCTGCTTTTCTACGGGCTATGGCAATTTGGGATGTGATATTGTGGACTCTTTTAATCAATTATTGGTTATGGTGATTTGGTCTAATATTCTCTAAAATACGTGAATAATTTTGTCACCTTGTTGTATAGCGTGTTAGCAAGATCTTCTATTATGAATAAAACTTGTACAAAGAGCTTCAATCTTGAACTATATACTTGTATGTGAATTTAATATAACTTGGTTTCTTGCTGTTGTTGTTATAATAAGAAACAAGATGTGGTTATTGGTGGGGATTGTTGTCCCATTTTGCCATTCTTGGGAATCCTCACTATGTAATATTTATATTCCTTATTCCTACACATTATCAATTATTGCGAGTATATGTGGAAAATCATTGGCAGTGTTCTACATATATATGATCTCACCCCAATTTTTCTTGTTTCTATATATTACAAATGTATGTGAATTTAGTGGGGATTTTTGTCCCACATGTTGCCATTAATTTGGGAATTTGAACTATGTAATATATATATTCCTTATTCCTAGCAATTGTAATGTATTTAATACACATTATCAATTATTGCTTGAACTCATGCACTTTATCAATTCCTAACATTTGTACATTCATAAATGCAGTGCTACAAAACCAATATGTCACTTTGGCGATTTGAGGTCATACTTGATACTCCTGAGAAGTTTTCAAAAGTGGTTAGTCTGCCAAGAGTATTTTATAAACTCTACATTCATTGGAAGTTTCTTTTAAAGCCTTATGCATTGGTAGTATTGAACTAATATTATATGCTAACAGCTTGTTCCAGACCGAATGAATAGAGAAGTGCAAGAAGTATGGAACAATTTTGATATTAAAGATCGAGTGTTAAGTCTTCACCGGGATACTGAGAGTAAGGTGTACCGTGTGCAGTTAAGGCATTTGTTTACGGGTCAAATGAAGTTCGAAACATATTTAAGAAGGGGCTGGAATGAGTTCGTCACCTCAAACAACTTGAGAATGCATGACCGCATCGTATTAACCTTAGAAGACCATCACAAAATTCTGTACATGGTTAGGATTTGGCGAGGCAGTACAGAAATCACTGTTGTGGACTCATTTGTTCTAATAGACAATGATGGTTCAATAAGTGACAGTGATATTATCTCTACTGAGTATGTGCCCAGGGAGATTTTAATTAAGACACCTTTTTTCGAATTCACCTTCTCCAAGGGTTACATGGACAAACCTAAAATTGTGAGTTTATCCTAACCTATCCAATTTTCAAGACATTGTGATTATGCTTCTGAATGATATTAATTTGATGTCTTTAACCTAACCTATTTAAATTTTATATGTTTAATCTAAATCAGAACATTCCGGTGTCCTTTGCCCTTGCCCATTTCCAAGACCATGAAGACCCGACAGAAGTTGAAATGCATGTGAGTAAGTGGTGGAAAGGAACAATGCGAATGAGTTTTGATAGCAAACACAGGATCATGAGTTGCGACATCAAAAAAGGAGTGACGGAACTGATCAAGGGTGAAGGGGTCAAAGAAGGTGAAAAGGCTTTGGTTGAGATGGAAGGTACGGATCCTCCATCGTTTACCCTTACATTCACTTGATCTTTCATAGTTTGCAAGATGGTTTATGCATGTATTTTGGATATTAATAGCATTACAATCAAAGGATCATTGGGTTATGTTTCTGCGTAATAGGACAATATCTTAATGATCTGTTCTACTTATAATTATTATTTTGGAGTTTTCAATTGTAAGGTTTTGTACTACTAATTATAGAAGCTCGTGTGATTGCATTTTGAAACATGATCCTTTTATTGAATATATTTTGGGAGCTCCTATATTATGGGATACAGTGGTTCCAATTGTTATAGTGTTTGTTGATAACATGGTGTACCTCTAAAATTACAACAAATTACAACGCTTACAAATATTATACTCCTGACATAAGAAGTGTTAATTTAAGACATATAAGTAAATTAAACCTAGCACCATGCATTTGTTGTACTGATAATTGTATCCAAATATAGTCAGTTTAATGTATTTGATGATCATTGTATCAAAGTATCAATCCCGTTCAGTCTTGAGTGGTCTTACTCAAAACCTATACCTAATGATTTAGAAATACTGGCATTCATTGGTGCGAGGCTTCCAATCCTTCCATTCTGTTAATTATTTATAAATAATTATTGTACATCTAATATAAATATAGGTTAACGTTATTAAAAAATACCTCTGAAATGAATAAAAGTTACCAAAATTTGTGTAAAAGTAACCTGCTTCAAATAAAAATTATTTACACTTTATTAGTAAAGCATCACATTTTAAATGACTATAAATCAATTATTATTGATTGAATGTAATTAAATTCCCTATATAAACCTTTTCTTTTTGTCTATTTATATAAAAATTGTGTTATGTCTAAAAGCAAAAAGTTACCCTTAAATTATTAGCTAAAAGTTACTCTTATATACACTAATTTTTTGATTTATACAAAAGTTTTTGATTTACAAAATTACTAATGGTATTTTACACTATTCATTAAATGGTATTGGGAGTAGTAGCCTAGTTCTTAAACACTGACAGTGCACAAAAGTTTAGGTTAAATAACAACTGCTAGTGGACAAAATAGAACCAAAAATTTAAAGCTTAGTATTAAAGACAGTAGGGGCCCACAATTTTTACTGAGGTAAGAAACCCTAGAAGGCACCTTTAATAGAAAACCCAAGAAGGCACCCTACAAGGCACCTTTGGGTACTCGACAAAATGCTAGTGGACAAGGAAGAAGGTATTTCAATTTTGGCGCTTCAGCCCGCCATACGGAATTTCAAATTTTGCCCCAAAAATTATTTCATTTCCCCCCAAAATGTAAAAAACTCCCGCCAACATGTAGTAGGTCATGTGTATATATATATATAAATGATCAAACACATAACAAAGCATGCTCCTTTTCATTTTTCAATCACCCTTAAGTTGCTACTTATAAAAATGGTTAAGAACAAAATAGCAATCCATGTTAGTATGATAAAACCATTCAACCCTAAATCCTCCACCAAAAATTTCTTACTCCTACCATGTTCACAAATAATTAAAACTAAGGGGTTGAAAATGGTACGACCTTGTCCTACCATATCATTCAATCATTCAAGGCAACGTAAGGGTATCATAGGGGTAATTGATTCACCAATGCTTTCAAGGGATGGAAAGGTCAAGATAACTTTTCTTGATGCTGCATCATTGGCACAAATTATCGCAGGCAATATGAAGCTGAAGGGAGATCTAGTACTGATCACTCCTAACAATAGGCTAAGCCCAATACACTTGTCGGACTTATCCGATATGGCTTTGCTACCATTAGGGGTAAAGCAATTTGTAAGATGGGTGATATCTACCCACGGTGGTAAGGAGGGATGCGGTTCCGAACATGTCATACCAAAATCAGTGATGAGCTTGGTAGATCCTCCCTCGGATATACCACCTATTGTGGAAACTTGTAATTTGTCATATGGTGATCATCACTTAAGCATCCCAAGTTATAGGAATTATGTTAAAATTTTTACTATTCCATTTCCTATGTATATGTTAAATATTTGTATGGAGTGTAAAACATACTCCTCAAACATACTGGATGGTAGAGATGTGGAGATCAATATCCAAGTTTGTGAAAATGAACATTTAGAAATTTGGAATGGAGTTGGGGAAAATGGCATACGTTGCCTAGTTTGGAATTGCCGTCATTTGGGAAAGGAGTCATTTCTACCACAAATGAGGTCTACAATAGAAATGCATATGCCTCATTTGATAATATTAACGGAAACTAGAGTTTCTGTTCATATGGCACGTCTTATTTGTGGGTATTTGGCACCATTCGCTGTGTATGGAGTATCACAGACTGACACCGTCGGCGGAATTGCCATGATCACCTTCTCTAGGCATATGAACTTGAAGTTGGTTAGTTCTTTTGCTAATGATTATTGTTGGGCCTTAGATGTTTAGTTAATTGCCTTCGTTCTATAAACTAAGTGTTGTAAGTGGTTTTAAAAAAATGTAGTATGCTAATGTTTAAGGATCCCAAATGAAAAGGGTCCAGTTTATAATTGTTGAAGTATGTGATGAATATTCTTTGTAACAGATCCATATTGTCTGAAATATATTACGCATTATCTAGTCTTATGCTTCCCAAATTTGATATTATGCATTAGCTAGTGTTATTATCATTTATCCCATTTTTTTGCGCCCTTTAACTTAAAAATTGATACACATATCTTCTAATTAGTATCTATTAAACAAAAAATTTAACAAACTAAGCCACCCTCTATAAACGCCTTATAAAGGTGTAATATAAATGGGTTAAAAAGGTGCAATGATTTCATAACTATATCTATGATTCTTGGATTATATTATGTTCCACTTTTTAACTTTGATTTTCAATTTGTAGAAATAGAACTTAACAACACTTGGCCTATTAGAAATAGAACTACTGAAAATAAAAATTATATCACTTGCAATCATTTCTAACCACAACAATAACTATTTCTTATGACTTTTTTTAATGAATATGCCTATTAGAAATGCATATGCCTCATGGCTTACAATGATATGTAAATAATTCTTACCTTCTAAACTACGACTAATTAAGGCCATTAATATTTGTTCATAACATCCAAATAGTAATGGCAACAATTATAACTGCATATGGTACAGCCTAATAAGCGGCCCCGACCCATAATTTGACCCATAAGATTAATGGCAACAATTCAAACTGCATATGGTGTACAGACTAAGTCCAGTTGTGTAATGGGTCAAATAAAAAAACTTGGGTATTGCACTTTTTCCCGTGTTTTATGCCCCAGTAATCGTGACTCATTTTGAATATCCAATAACCCATTACACAAATGCTATTTATTTGGGCTTTTAAAGCCCATTAAACATTCAGCCCAAACACACAACAAATTGAACAATAACTTGATAAACTTTCATGTATTCAAATCTATCCTGCACTTCACATCTTTACTTCTGATGACATTGCTGTTGATATCAGTGCGGGTTGATACGACATTGTCGATAGCAGATTCAAATTCCAACCTGAAAATATAAATATCCATGTAACTAAAGCAGTTCATTTTGGGGGATTTATTAAAAATTATTTAACACAAACTTTTGCTGCTTTGTTTACCTCTTACGCTTACATCTGGGTATCCGTTTTCGTGCAACCTTAGCCCTATAACAAACACTACCGCTGCCCATCCTAACAACCTGTAAGTTATTACACATGTCATACTTAAATGTTAAAACTTTTGGGACTTGTATGTCGGAACAGGTAAACCCCCATTAGGGATACCTAGCACCCAATGAACCTGATTTTGAGACAACTTAAATACTTTCCCATCTACGCTACTTAAAGTACAATTAAAGGGATCAATTCGAGTCATCAACCAATAAGCCAGCTGTCTGGGAAGGTTCATATAGCCACCAATTTTTAATAGCTCGGCAAACCCCATTTCACCAACCCAGCGCCTACATTGCTCATCAAACTTTTCGCATATTCTCCCAAAAGACTCTATTCGACAGCTTGTATTAGCCGGCTAACAATACTAGTAAAGAAAAACTTATCAAACAAACTTGAACACATAATCAAACACACTTGAGCACAAAACAAACACACTTCATCACAAAACAAACACACTTGATCACAAATCAAACACACTTGATCACAAATCAAGCAAACTTGTACACAAAATCAAACAAATAATAACTACCACTTTTAATCCACATAAACACATACTATCAATCAAATAACTTACCCTACATCGCGACTTCAGATGTTGCACCAACACTTCACCTTTCCTCTTCACCTCACCACCAACACTTAAAGAGTCATCCTACAATAACTATCAACATTGTTAGTGATTTGCTTATTCCGACTTAAGGTTTATTCACAGCAAAATTTCTAAATACCTTGAATATCTCTGGATAAATCTTCTTCATGTGACCTGGAATTTTAATACAGATAGGTTGAGTACACACATGACCAATGTGTAAACAGATAAATATGCTCTAGCACAGACAAATGCATATACCTCAGAAATATTTGTCGTTCTTCACCTTTCGCAATTACGTTTTTTACCGTCCAAATAATCCATTCCCATTCCAAAAATGTCTAAAATCTCATAACAATGATAAGTCGTACTTCATTCCCAACTCCTGCTACTCATTATCAATTATAATACAGAAACATTAATCTCGACTTTGACATATTTTAATCCCAGTTGCCCCAAGGCTTACTGCCCCATATTCACCAGTCAAAAAACTTTGCAGAATATGATATTTAATATATCTATAAATTGCACAATCTAAGCTATGAATTGTAAATTGCAAAAACATATCACACTACCACAAAAATTGACCCTCCCCTGCTCAATTCAATCACAACAAAATTTTAAACACCTATGGGTACGATGATACAAGTCATTATAAAAACTATTACCACAATGTCCGACAGCCAGATGATTGAATTCGATATAATAACAAAACACAATTACACACAAATCAATTCAATTAAATAACCTATTACAACAACTTATACAAGACAAACACTGAATTGCGAACACAGACACGAACGATAACCCATAAATTGCTAAGCAGTGGTCAATGATTGAATTCGATATAATAACAAAACACAATTACACACAAATCAATTCAATTAAACAACCTATTACAACAACTTATACAAGACTAACACTGAATTGCTAAGAAATACCTGTCGAAACCCTAACTACGCATTCCTCATTCGCGGCCAACTTCAGTTCATTGGATTTTATCGCCGAGAATTCGATTCATCACCGCCACCACCTCCTCCCACACTTTTTCATCCGTATA